GAAAACAAAGATTTATATTTATTTTTAGAACTTAATTCACTTTATTTGTTATAGAAAATCCACTCTGTGGTGGCCAGAGCTGGAGCCTGAGTCCTCTGCACGGAGACTCTGGTGTGAGTCTTTACAAGGTGATCTGTGAATTCCTGGTAGGGAGACTTCGTGAACACCGTCTCTTTCCAGAGATCTGGGGTCAGATAGCTGTAGGTCTTTGAAATGGCATCAAAGGTGGCCTTAGCAAAGTTGCCCAGGGTAGCTGTGCAGCCCCTGGCTGAGGTGTAACAGTCATCAATTCCAGTCATCATCAACAGCTTCTTAGGCACAGGGGCCGAGACAATTCCAGTGCCTCGGGGTGCAGGGATCAGACGCACCAACACAGAGCCACAGCGCCCAGTCACCTTGCAGGGAACGGTGTGAGGCTTGCCAATCTTGTTCCCCCAGTAGCCACGCCGCACAGGGACAATGGAGAGCTTGGCTAGGATGATGGCCCCACGGATGGCAGTAGCCACCTCCTTGGAGCACTTGACGCCCAAGCCAACATGGCCATTATAGTCTCTGATGACGACAAAGGCCTTGAACCTGGTCCGCTGGCCAGCACGTGTCTGCTTCTGCACTGGCATGATTTTCAACACTTCATTCTTGAGGGACATGCCCAGGCAGAAGTCGATGATCTCAGACTCCTTGATGGGCAGGGAGAAGAGATAAATCTCCTCCAATGATTTTATTTTCATATCTTTCACCAGGTGGCCCAGTTTGTTGATGGGGAGTCACTCCTTGTCCTCGGCTTTGCCTCCTCGAGCCTCATGGGCTCCCATCCCAGGGCCCCCAGGGCCTCCAGGCCCTCCCACTGCACCAGCATCATCTGCCATTTGGTGTTTTCTCAGAGAAGAAGAAGTGAAAACAAAGATTCTTAACCACTGGACCGATAGGAAACATCATGGTGGAGAAGAGATTGAAACTGTCCACTTCATCTTGCCTGGATCCACAATTGACACCCTTGATGCCAGCAGTCAGGAAATCAGGAGATGCATTGCATTGGGAAAGTCTTGCAGTTAAGGACCTCACCAAAATATTAAGGAGTAATGATGTATGTCAATTTGAGGGTTGCAGTGTCTCTGATTCAGGCCATGGTCTTTCTGATCATTTGCTATGCATCTGAGAGCTGGACAATGAATAAGTATGACAGAAAAAGAATTGATACCTTTGAGCTCTGGTGTTGGAGAAAAGCACTGAAGATCCCATGGACAGCCAAAAGAACAAACAAATATATCTTGGAGAGGGTACAACTTAGCTGGAGTGCTCTTTGGAGGCAGGAATGAGGCTTTGCCTCACATATTTTGGGCATGTTACTTGGAGGAGTTATTCCTTGGAGAGGGACATAATGCTAGTAAGAGTGGAGGGTCAGCAAAGGAGAGGAAGATTCTTAATCAGGTGGATTGACAGAGTGACTGCTACAATGGGCTTTAGTGTTTCAGTGTGAAGATGGCATAGGCTAGAACAGGGTTCAGATCTTTTGTTCACTGGGTCACTATGAGTTGTACTCAACTCAATAGCACCTAATAACAACCACAGTTACAAGCAAGTGGCTTATATGGCATAGTTGCAAATGACTCTTCCTCCCAAAGGCTGCTTACTAAATTATCTAAACAAACGAACTCAGCATTTTTCAAGTTGAGAAAACTGAAGAACAAATTCAAACCTTGAGCTATAATAAGGAAAGATACTATGGGCAAAATCCTGAATGATCCTGGAAGCACCAAAAGAATGAGAGTAATACACAGTTACTGTACCAGAAAGAATTGACTGAACCATTTCAGGAAGTTCAGGGTTTCAGAGGCAGTTGATCCCACAGGAGGAGATTTTCCATCTTTCTCATGCAGAGAAACTGGTAGATTTGAATCATATTCCTTTGAATTGGTAGCACATCTCCTTAACCCTAAAACACTAGAGCTTCCACTATACACTGTTAGCTAAGCTATATACACTAAACATTTTCTATTAAGACAATTGACTAATAGATGCTAGATATGTTGTCACTATTAGGTGATGTGGCATTGAAAACAGGCTCATAGGAACCCTATGAACAACCATATCTGAAACTTGCCCATGGGAACCATCATCATGATCTCTCTCATGCCCACTGTGGTAGTTACTGTGTCAACCTATCTTCTAGGGGTTAGATATAACTAGCCACAACTAACTGTTCCATCGTAAGTACAAATTCTACTTAGACACAGATTTAGGAACAGAAAGAATTTGTAATCGTGGTGGGAGGGGGACTGCTTATATATTCAAATATGCTACACATTTTTGTAAACTTCTTCCTTCCTACTCAAGAGTGTCCAATCAGCTTGCTAAGGTTGCAACAGTGGCAAGAAATGACCACTCAAAATTACAGAAAAATCTGCTGAGCAATTATTCTTCACATTCCCTTGTCAATCTGATTCATTCAAGAGGCAAAAGGTAATACGAGGACAAACAGTTACATGAGGAGGACAGAAATAGAGCTTAAACCTACAGCTGAGATCAGGTCCTTGTCACCCCCGAGAGCTTTGTTCAGCATTGGCTGTGCTTCTGAGGTTCACCCTTCTCCTCTCTGAATGTCCTGGGGAGGAAGCGGGGGAACTCTGTGTTCAAGATCTGGATCCCAAGATGGAGAAGGTGAGTAGAATGAATATAGAGATGTCAAAGGCTTGAATAGGTGCAAAACAAACCAAGTGAAAAAGCATGGAAAGATTTTTCACAGAGGGAGATATACAGATGCCCAACAGAAAAATGAAGAAAGGCTCAGAATCACTGGCAAAAAGAGAGATGCATATCAAAGCCAAAAAGACATACCATCTCACTCCAGTAGCAGTGGCAAAATTTAACAGAACAGCAAGTAATAAATGTTGGAGAGGATGTGGCAAGATAGGAAGCCTTGCATATTGTTGATGGGATTGTAAAATGGTACAAGCCCTCTGGAAGGCTGTTCGGCATTTCCTCAGAATGCTGAACACTGAAATTCCATATGACCTAGTTATTCCACTGCTTGGAATATACCCTGAGAAAATAAGAATTGAGGCACAAATGGAGACTTCTACACCAATGTTCACAGAAGCGTTATTCACCGTCACAAGAACATGGAAACAGCCCAAATGTCCAACCACAATCAAATGGATTGAGACATTATGGTACATTCACACAATGGAATCCTATGCAGCATGCAAGAATTATAATTTTGTAAATTATCATCTAGCTTGGGAGGGACTGGAGAGCATTATGCTAAGTGAACGAACTCAGTCCCTTAAGGCCAAATACTGTATAAGACCATTATTGTAGAACATGTATGAGGATCTGCAAGGAGGTGGGAGACAGAGGTGTAAGGATTTGGGGCAGGGTGTGCGGGGGATTAATCATATGGTCACACAACATGATGGGTGGGTAAAGGAAATGGGAAAGATCTGGTGTGAAAAACCATGTATACAAACCTAAACCAGCATAAAAAAAAATATTTATTGTAAAAAAAAAAAAGCAAACAAAGTGGATTCATTAGAAAGGATATTTTTTAGCACCACCACTTACACACACACACACACACCCTTAACCAAAGCCAGCTCCAACTCACAGCCACCTTATAGAACACACCTTCTTAGCTGACTCCTAGCTATCACCATATGGAATTTCTGAATAGTCAGTCTGTACACAAAGGCATGCTAAAGAAAAAAATATTATCTCTGATGAAAGTATTATCTTGCTAATCAGAAATCCTATTTTAATGCTGGTATTTGGGAAATTATGTTGCCATGGTAAATAAATGAAGAATAAACCATTTCAACAATAATCAGCACCCACACAAATAATTTCAGTTACAATTTCTCATTTTCTCACAAACTGCTGTACACAGCAGCTGATTTGAAGCTTACATTTGTCAAGCATGTGAACACTCACCAGACTATTTATTAATTTAAAAAACCAGGAGCTACATCTGTTTGTCTAATCACTACGACCTGTTTTGTACTCATGGTGGGAGTGATACTGGGGGATCCTGGTTGGTTGTAACTCACATCTGGAGTAAGTATAAAATGATAGCATTATGATGATGAAAGCCAGAGGACCTTATCTGCATATAAATAGGCCTAATCAGAAATGCAAATTGCAATCAGGAGCCGGGGGGTTTTTTTTTAGAGGCTAGGAGAGCTGTGTGATGGTGCAGATAAAGAAAGGTCAACACTTGTACCATTTAGGTGGTTAACTGCTCCCAGGCAGCCCTGAAAGACAAATGCTGAAGGTACAAATTATCTGTCAATCTGTAACAAAGCAAGGACCCAGTTCTCTGATAGCTTTGTTTCCTGCAGCTACTGCTTTCAGCTGGCCAAACACCATGAAAGATAAACACTTACAGTAAAATAAATATTCAATCTATCTTTTATAATCAAATCTTTCAACCCCCTAGAAAATGCGTACAATAGAAAATACATTTGCATTTGAATACTGTCCAAATAGACTCCTTCAGCACAATTTCCCCACTCATATATAAATTAAGGGTCAACAGAAAGACATAAGACTGATGTAACATTTTTCTGAATAGATCTGGCACTATGATACACTTGTTTAACCCCAAAATTTTTCTGAATGAATACTCAAGAAGAATTGGAGGGAGAAAAATTACCCGTGCTATTTATACGGTTAAAAAGAAAACCAATGCCTAAAACTACTTAATTCAAAACGCAATTTGTGTCTTTAGCAAAGCACATACACAAAAATAAACATCTCAGAAAAACTGGAGTACTGAATACACGTGATTGTTACAACATAGTTCTTTGAGGAATGTTATCTATTAGAAACATCCCTCTCCTCATTTCCCTACTCCCTGCCAAAAAAAAATATGTATATATAAGATTTTACAATCAGACTTTTCTCAGGTTTAGAGAGAAACTGCTTACAAACCATTTATTATCCTTATAACCAGGCTTGGTTGGTATAAAGAACTAATGGGCCAAGGGCGCCATCTAGTGCCATACCTTGGAATCTTAAAGAGTGTTTTCACAGGATGCATATCAAAGAGGGGAGGGTCTCCATCCCCCAGTTCAATGGCTGTGATCCCCAAGGACCAGACGTCACAGCGAGCGTCATAGGAAGAGTCATATTGCTGCTCACAAGCGATGACCTATCAGACAAAAGCAAGATTTATGCATCAACCCCCGTGCCACAATGTCCTAAAAGGTCCTTGATTGATCTTGGTCCAACTTTGACTACTTGGATATTGCATTTGAATAATAAAAATAAGATGAAGGTTTCTTAGTGCGTGTGTGCGAGGGGAGGGGAGGCATGGTGTGGTTATCATCTGGTATGTTCACTCTTTTTAAAAAATGTATCCTTTCTGTGCAAACACACAGAATTCTCTATGTACCAAGAACAGCACAAGGGAAAGTACAAGGGGACTAACTCCCTTCAGTCCTTTAAGGAAAGTGTTGTGTGCATCCTCCACTTCCATTTCCAGACACTGAGTTTAAAAGCAATAATAGTTGTTCCCAAAGTCCTGGACTCTTGGACAAATCCCAAAGAGTGCCACCAATTGAACAGAAAGATATTGGAAAACTGTTATCAGCACAAAGCAGACCCCTTCCCAATCCCTCCTTCCTGGAACGTCATCCCCCTCCTCAAATTTCAACAGCTGTATTTCAACAGCAGCTTCCACTTCTGCTGTCCCTGTGGTCACTGGTCTGAGCAGACATAAGAGCAAAACCAGAATGCACTCCTGCGTGTGTCATTCATTACGGGTACATGAACTTTGTAGGAAAAGTTAACCTTTTTGAGAAAGGCAAGAAAATCTACTTTCAGGCTCTGATAACAATGACAATAGGGGTGAAGTTAGGGGTAGGTCAAGGGGTTATAGAGGGACTATTATTAATTGATTCTGAATTAGTTCTGACACATGGCCATCTTCTGTGTAATAGAAGAAAATGTAATGAGGTCTTCTATGATCTCCATGATCTGAGGAATATTTGAGCCCACTGTTGACGCTATTGTCATCAATTCATCTCACTGAGGGTCTCCTTGACCTCCTAGTTCCAAAATATGATATCCTTTTCTAGAAGTTAGTCTTTCCTGATGATGAGTCCAAAGTCAAAGAATTATTCAAGCTGCATTTCTTGTAAGAATAACTTGTTCATTCTTCATCATACTATATTCAATTCTTTATCAGCACCACAATTGAAATGCATCAATTCTTCTTCTTTTTCTCACTTCTAGCTTTTATCAGCATATAAAGAAACTTAAGGAAGGAAACCAACACAACTTTGCAGGGACTATATGCCTAAGGAGCTCTGGTGGCTTAGTGGTAACAAGTTATACTGATAACCCAGAGGGACATGGTTCAAATCCACCTGTTGTTCCATAGGAGTAAGATGGGCAGCCTCCTCCCATTTCATTTACTGCCTCTGAAAACACACAGGATGGTCAGCTATGAGTCTTTTCCAACTCAATGGTACACAACAGTGTCAGCCTGACATCAGCCTCCCTGAGCAAGGGTGATCCATGACTCTGCACAGGTGGGAAGATTGATGTTTGGTGATGTATTTGTCAAACCACCCAGAAAGTAGACAAGTAGTATCCACAGGTGAGCTAAGGGAGCCCAAAGTACGTGAGAAGGCCTACCTTTTAGGTTACCACAGTTCTTTAGCTTTTATTCTGAGACGGGCCAGCAGACCGTGTTAAACAGGTGAATCCTACAATCTAGTTTATATTCAACACAGTCCCTCTGTCTGCTGAGTTTAAAAGAAACTGAAGTGGAACAGGAATAGTAGACATAAAACCTGATGAGAGGTGGTGAATAGGAAACAGCGGAAGTGATTAAAATAATCAGGTTTTGAATATAATTTTGTAAGTACAGCCAGTTTGATTTGCTGTAAAATGTAAGAGAAAGAAGAGCTCATAATTACTCTTGAGTTTCAATTTGAATAGAAAAACAGTACATTGACTGCTATTTATTGACAGTGGATCATTGACGGCTTCAGGGGCAAGGAGTGGTGCTGCCAACAGGAAGGGAGGTGGTTCCCCTACCTGCTCCTCAGGAGGAAGGCTGACAATCTCTCCCAACGCAATTTACAGCATCGGAAGACCTGCAGGAGGGTAAGCAGTGAGGGATTGGGAAGGGTCCTGCTTTGTGCTGATAACAGTTTCCCAACTCAACAGCAATGAGTCTGAGGGAGTTTTCTTGGTGGATTTTGTCTTTGTTTTTAAATCTGGTGATGGTGGAAGAAGCAGGCTTAGGGGTGAAGTAGGAGTTCCATTTGAGAGCTATATTAAGTTTGAGATGCCTACAAGACTTCCAAATGGAGAAAAGTGCTTTTTAGTCTCTTGAGACCCATGCTAGACTCCTGACCCACAGAATTATAAAACAATTAGCTTGGGCTGTTTTAAACTAGTCACTAGATTGGGAGTAATTTGGTATGGCAGTGATAGAAAAATATACTTACTCTTCTCCAACCACATTCATTGTTCTTGAAGATCCAGTAAACCTCCTGTCTCTCATCTTGCTTTCAATTCCATATTCATGATCCCATAATTACCTTACAACACCTTTTATACATAAACATATAAACATTTCCTGGTTCTGGTCTCATCCTTTGATTAGCATATCCTGTCATATTTTCAACACATTCTCCAATAGTCATTGAGACAGAAGTACAAATAATTCCAATTTCAGAAGCAGAAGCCATTTCATCACCCTCAAAGACCTTGCTCTCATCATTCAAAGCAGGTGGGAAATGACACTATTTTTAAAGATCTCCAGAGAAGGCCACTCAACACGTTCCCTTTCAGAAATGACATTTTCAAAAGTGTGGGACAAACATAATTTTAGAACGATCAATCAGCAAAGAGCTTGCCATTCTTATATAAAACACTGTCATGGGCCCGAGGAGAAAAAAAAAAAATAAGACTATATATTATGCTCCAACAGGAGGCAAAATAAAGTGAGTCTATAAAAACAAAAAACTCATTCATTAGTATACAAAATAGGTGACCCTGGAGGACATTATGCTGAGTGAAATATCTCAGTCACAAAAGGACAAATATTGCATAGTGCCACTGTTGCAAAATGGGACTGACATTGGGGTTGAGGGAAGACAGAGAAAGAGGGAATAAATAATGTATACTGCATTGAAACAGATGAGGGAGAGAACTGTTTAAAAGGGACATATGATTAGGTATTATTGTCATTACAGGAGTCCAAAATGAAGGCTACACAGTGGAGTGGACTTAAGGGGAAGGAATGTGTAACAATGAAAGAATTTTTCTTTTACTTTTCAAAGAGAAGCGTAAATTGGGGTGAGGGAGAGGTGGGCAGGGAGAAAAGTACAACAATGAATGGATGGAAATCCAAAATCTCTGTAATCTTTCATTAAAATGAATTTTAAAAAATTAAGACAAACCAGGACAATATACAATGTCCTAAAACAATGTGTGTTACAGCATCCAATAAAAGATATGGGCTCTAATGCTTAGGAATTTAAAGGAAGATCATTTCTCACTAAGCCAGCTGGTGAGAAATGTCTAGTGACTGGAGTCTATAACTTCCTGGAAGAAATTCAAAGTAACTTCTAGACATCTTGGATGATACACAAAAGGTGATTCCAAGAATGTATCTAAATAGTGGATGGTGATATCCTAATTGTCATAAAATATTCAAAGCTTTATCTGGTTTCAACTCATCTCTCTGGCTCACTCTGATTCTTAGCAAAGCATTCTTTAGTCAGAATATTTCTTCTGCAAACTCAGCTCATAGTATATAGCAAAGAAATTATCTGAGCTCAGATTCTCTAGGAAATTTCTAGGAAATCATGCTAATAAGGTAATTCGCAATTATTGAATACCCACTAGCCAAGCATGATAGAAGATCCTGGGCAGAAAAAAAGCTTTATTTAATCATCATAATGACTCAAATGAACTAGAATTTTTTTTTAATTCTAAATTTTAAAGAATTTACTTTTTATAGAAAATGAGACTCAGAAAAGTAACTATCTTCCCTAAGATCATATAGCTAGTCATTTACATTTAGAAATCAAACCCCAGAAAAAGAGAGGAGCATGAAAATAAATCATTGCGACACAATGTGATAAGAATGATACTTAAGGTTATGTTAAAGAATAGTTGAATGTATTAGCTTCTGGTATCATATGGGCAATCTCCTCTCATACATTTGACAGCCTCTGAAACTCAATCGGGGCTCAGCCATGAGCCAGTTTCTGCAGGATGGCAATGAGTTGGGTTGGGTTATCAAATTTTAATGAGACTAACCATTTTCTTTGAGGCTTTGTCACCTAAACTCTATGCTCTTAGAGAAAGTCTCAGACATAGTGCGTATCACTCTCAGGATTGGTCCTTCTCAAGAATAAAGGAGTCAGTCTAAATAAGCACTTTAAGAAAATGTGCATCCCAGTTGGCTTAGTGGTAAGGAGCTGTGCTGTCAGCCCAAAGACACTGGATTTGAATTTACCAATTGCTCTACAGGGAAAGATGGGCAGTCTTCCCCATGCAATTAAATGCCCCTAAAAACCCTCTGGAGGGCCAATCAGCAGTTCTGGCTCAATGGTACACAACAGTCACAACATATCTTGAAATTGGATTCTCTGCCTACCAATCACCAAAATCTGCAAGCATTTCTTTTGGAGACAAAGAAATGCCATTATCCTTCGTTTAGCATGCTCTTTATTTCAAAGTAAAATTAAGCAGACTTTGGGATGCTGATTGGTCTTTGTTTTCTTGTCCTCAGGAGGCAGTGACCTTGGAAAGAACTCGTTGGTTTGAGGATGCTCCCCTAAGACAGGAGTGCGGCTGTGGTAAGTCAGAGTACTGCCCCGGGAGTAGGTATCTCTGACTTCCGTAAATGTTAAAAAGGTGGAAAGAAATAATGGAGGTGGTTTAGGCACAAGACCCAGAATCCTAAACACCTAGTCTTCACCTTCTACAGTCTTATCTCTTCACCTCTCCTTCTTCCACACTCCAAGATTTGACCAAAGCTAGGATATATTCTCCTTTACATTGGGCCATTGCACTGATCATGGCAGCAAGAACGGTGTTGATGGCAATGGGATGGGAAACATAGACTAAGTTCCCCTAAGTTCCATCCCTGCACTTCACTTTTTTGAGGCTTCTCACAGGAAG